TATATATATATATATATATATATTGGATTCAAACGTCAATTGAATTTTATAATTTTTCTATAGTTGAATTTAATGCTACAAGCTTCATGTATTGAATCGGTCAAAAATTGATTTAAAATTGCATTACAAAATTAAAAAATATTTTTTAAGAGGACCAAATTGATCCAAATATAAAATATAAAAGATCAAAATGAACATTTTAACGAATAAAGGACTGAAATGAATCTAAAAAATAAGACAAATAATAAAAATATAATTTCACCTATTTATTTTAACTTTATTCTTTTCCTCTCCAACTATTATTTGTTTTAGGCATTTATGTTAGTTTTTTTTTTTTTTTTTATAAAAATGCTTGTATAGATTAATATTGCTATAAAAAATGAAAACACAAGATTCCCTAAAGAGGGAGGCAATAATAATTATAATACTATTTTTTAATAGGCTTAATTGTATTTGTATCCTTTTAAATATTATAATTGTGTGATTTTGACTCGTCAAGTTTTAATTGAGCAATTTTAATCCTTCAAGTATTGCAATTGTACGATTTTAGTCCTTCAACTTAAGTATCGTAATTATATAATTGTTGACCCATTTAAGTTACATATACTATAATTTTCATTCATGTATTAGATGATATATATTTATTATTATTAAATTAATAATACATTTAATTTAAATAGGTAACAAATTATATAATTAAGATACTTGAGTGACTAAAATCACTCAATTGTGATCGATACTTGAGTGATTAAAATTGTTTAACTAAAATTTGAGAGGCCAAAATTGCACAATTGTAATACTTGAGAGATTAAAATTGTTCAATTGAAATTTGAGAGACCAAAATTGCACAATTGATACGTCGCACTAAAAAAATTCTTTTTATATTATATATATATATATATATATATTTTATGAGTATGGTATTGGTATAAATTCATTATCAAAATTAATCTCCATTAAAGATCGTGAATACACACAAAATAGATATTTCGCTTCCAACATAATTTATTTCATATTTAAATACCAAAATTCAAACTTTGGATAACTTGATTAAGAAACCTAAATTACTATCACTTGTACAAACCAATCATTACAAGAAATGTTATACACAAAAAGTGAAATAAAAAAGTATTACTATAGATACAATATATGTATAAATCTATTTGTCATATAATTACACATAATTTTAATATTGATTTTGAGTGAGATTTAACAATATATATTGTATGTCACTATAGTCTATATCTACAATTTTTAACAGTATACCAACATATATTGCATCTATAATGTAAATAAATGTAATTTTAATAACAAATATTATGTTATTGTAGGGTGTCACTATATATAACAATTTTTTTTGTAGTGAATGCTTTATCATAACTTTTAATAATGAGTAATCTCTAAATTATTATTTATTTTCAAATTTTGTTCATGTTATATTTTTTCTGAATCACAATCACTTATATTATTAAAATAAGAGTTAATCACCTATACACTGTCAGTGTAAAGATTTTTTACATTGACAACCAATTATATTTTTTAATTGTGTCATGTCATTGTTAAAAGAATTTATTTATAGTGACATGACACAATTAAAAGATATAATTGATTGTCAGTGTAAAAAAACTTTACACCGACAGTGTATAGGTGATTAACTCTTAAAATAATTAGGTTCAAGCTTTTTTTCACCCCAAAACTTCACTTACTTGTATTCTTAACTTAATTCTTTTCAAATTTTATGCTTCACATTGACATTTACTCTTTCTCAAATCTTATATCATTAAAATAATAAGTTTCAAGTTTTTTTTCCCTAAAACTTCACTTACTAATATTCTTAACTTAAATCTTTTCAAATTTTATGTTTCACATCGGCATTTACTCTTAATACTCCTCACTTAGTTAAATTACAGTATATTATTTGGTCAATAATTTAATTATTTAGTTTACTCTTCTCTAAAGAATGACACTAGTTATTCTTAATTTTTATTTTTAAATTTTTTTATTTAAATTATTTCAATTAATATTGAATATTTTTTATGATTTTAATTAAAAAAATTTCAAGTCAATCCCACCTAGTCGGATAAAGCTTTGTTTTTGTTGTAATTTATAATTTTTTTAATTTTACTTGACTTAGTTGTATATACATTTCTTATAATTTTGAATATTTTTTTGTATTTTCTTTTTAATTTTTAAAAATTTAAAAATTTGTACAGTCATTAAATTAGATACTTAATTAACAATATATAATGGTGTTCAAAAGTATTTCTCTAAAAAAAACATTGGGAGCATCATGGAGGAGTGTTTTGAGGGCTGTTGATCGACACGGGGATTCATTTTTATCAAAATTTTCTTCATTTTTATGTGATTTCTTTTCTTTTTCAAATAGGGTTTTGACGAATACATGAATTTGGTTCTTAATGATGCTGAGGAAAGGGTCTCCATTTCATTTTATTTTTCTTTAAAAAGTAGACGTCAAATTTACAATTTCCTTTCTTTTGTGAGGTCATGGATAGACACATGATGTTTGTTGAAAGATATTATTCTTAAATAAATATAAGTATTTTTAAGAATTAATTTTTAATGTTTGATTAGGAGATATTTTAGTTTAAAAAAAAAACCCACCCAACTCAGTTTTGGTAACAAATAATTATACATACATGTTTTTCTATAATATTAATTAGTTCAATGGCATATACATACAAAACATACAAATAATCATGAACTTTTTTATCCGAATTTTAAGAATGCAAAGCTTCCAACCCAACAATTCTCTTATTAATAGAACTGGTTTAGCTTTTGTATGGTTGACCAATAAATTATGATTTCTGAACCTTGTTTGTCGTGGTTTCAATAATTAGAAAAGAATCCAAATATAGGGTTTGTACCTACATATGTGGAAATTGAGCTAAAAATACGTTGAGCTAGTGGTGGATCAAAACCACTGCTCTCTTTGTTTTCACTTTTGAGATTTTTCCCCACCCTGAAGACTCCCTCTTCTTGGTTGGTTTTTTCTCCTACACAACCAGCCAAGAACCATGCACATTCTTTTCTCTGCATAACTTCTCTCTCCCACCTTCCCATCTTCACATGCATGCATGCATGTCTTCTTCACTGCTACATGCTTCAGCTTTTCTGGTTTCATCATTAACTATAGAGGGCTTATAATTATATATTAATTTGTTCTCAAGGTAGCCAGGTAGGTGCTTTCTTCTAACCCTTTCTCTCACTTCTCATTTTCCCTGTTGGAATTAGTGCTTGCAAACAATGGAAATTCGAAAGAAATTAAACATCCACAATATTTGTTCTTTTTCTTTTAATACAAATGTTTTATTCATCATTTAGATTTCAAATTTGTTTATTATAATAAAATAAAATAAAAAATAGAAAGGAAAGTTAAACATTTAAGTTTTTTTTAATTGTTTGTTAGCTTATTGCCTGCCTTATTCCATTTGGAGTTGGTAGTTTGGTCTGCGTGATTTCTAATTGATTAATTTACGATGCATTAAAATTAAACTTTTTGAGTTTTTTTTTAATGGTTTAGTCATTACTATGTAATGGGGTCATCAAATGATTAATTGGTACAGTGAAGATTTCTTATTTGATCATCTGGCTTACTTTTTCTTTTCCTCTTCTTTTTCTCCTGAAGATCTTAGTTGATTTCATTGAAGATTGATGCACCAGCACTAGCACCATTGGTGTAAATGTCGACCAAGGTGAAAGGCCTCCTTAAAGGACTTAAACACATATCCCAACAAATATTCGGTAAGTGCAATTAATCTCCATTCTCATAAAGAAATTAAAAATGAAAAGTACATTTTCTATTTGACCCCAAGAAAGTAAATTTTATTCAACATTTAGATTCTATTTTTTCCTTCAAAGAGTATATGTTTAAAGAGAAGGACACTCATTTTCCTTTTAGAGCAGAGGAGGAAAATGGGAGGTAGAGAACTGATGGAAGAAAACAATTTTATGTAGAATTTTGATTTGGCGTTTATTGATATATTGATAGTTTTCTAGTTTTGTTGCGTCTTTTCCTTGATGATGAGAATTGTTCAAGGGATCACAAATACAAGCATTCAAAGATTATTTTTCATGACTTTAATTGATAAATGTATTTAAGAGTTTTTCACTTTATTATTGATAGCAGATTAATTTGATGTTTTCTGAGTTGTTGTAAATCCCATTGCGAGGATAAAAGAAAGATTAATTTGATGTTTGATGGCACTAGTTAAAAAATGTGAAACTACATGCTACTAATTTTGCTCTAATTATCTCTAATTTGAATAAAGAAAACATTGAAAAGCCTGTTTTGCGCTTATTGTTAGTTTAAATATAGTTACAATTTGAAAGGTTCAAGTTACAAATTGTAACTGTGTACATTATTTTGCAGATGAGAAAGAAGAAGAATTTCAAATTGGGTTACCAACTGATGTGAAACATGTGGCACATATTGGATCAGATGATCCATCAGCAAATGCACCAAGCTGGGTACTATTCTCATTCTCTCTCTATCATATATTTTACTTAGCCGATAACTGTTCCTCAAGAAACATTAGTTTGTGAGCAATGTGAAAACTTATGCAGATGACAGAGTACAAAGGAGGAAAAGAACCCCCATCAGGAAACGCTAAAGAAGGTTTGCACATATTTCTCTACAAAGCATATAAATTGCTTGCTTTTAGGATTTTCAATTTCATTATATCAATTTCAACTCCTATACTTAATCAGAAATTGCTTGCTTTTAACATTTTCAAATTCATTATATAATTTTAATTCCTATACATTAAACACAAACATTTATTTTAACTAAAGTATTTTTAAAAATTTCTTTTCAATGAAATAATTTGTAAAAATTTATTAATTTTTTATTCAATTCAATTCAATTTTATTTAAATTATAAGTTAAATATTAACATTTTAAAATAAATTATCAATACTTAAAATAAGATTTTTGTTATAATTCAAATTATTTTTATAAATTTTAAATATAATTTATAGATTTTAAAAAATTATATATATATATATTAATATATTATAAATTTTAATTATATCTATACTTGTTAATAAGGGAATTAGAATATGTAATCATTTTATATCTTTACTTTTGAGTGAATCATTATATTTTTCATATATATATTTTTATTTATATTTTATCTAAATAACTATCCATAATTTTCTAATATTATATTTATGTGTAATTATTAAAGACACGAAATACTTTGACTCATTTAGTTGAAGAGGGATCTGTTTACTTCAAGAATAAGTCTACTTAAACTTACTCCGTTCAATAACTTATATTTTACATCAATAACTCATGTTCTACATCAACTTTCATTAATTTAACAGTTCAATTTAAAATTTTTAATATATAAATTAAATCTGTAAATTTTTAAAAAATTTAAAACGTATTTAAAGCTTACTCGTGGAGTAAACAGATTCGTTTAGTCTAGTTATATAAATAAAGATGTGGCATTTCACATGTTAAGATATTAATTAAATTAAATTTCAGGCGAGAACGATTCATCACAAAACTCGAAAGGTACGAAATCTCGGCACCTGCTTCCGAAGTCTCGGCACCATTCATCGGAGTCGGAATCGAACGGGACGAAGCAAAGGACGACGCGGCGCCACCAGCGGTCGTCGGACCCCACGGCGGACTCCTCGAGCCAGGAATCCTCGACGGGCGG